GGTTGGTGTGCGATAACGTGAGACTGGCTCGGTACCCACGAGCAACCGAAAAAGACGAAGGAAGGCTGAATAAATGACGAAAGAGAAGTTCAATGGAGAACATTTGTGTGTTTGGACTACTGTTCAATTTAGTTCTGGGGTCATTTCTCAGGGTTGAAAAAAAAATAGGTATTCCAAATGGGGTTGTACTTTCAAGTACAAACAGGAAGTGCCGGGAACTAGAATAGTTCGTTGAACTACAAACTTTTGAAGGACTGCAAGAACTATTGGCCAAGTTAGTTCTGGAGAAATTCATCAAGGGAAAACAAGAACAACAACAACAAAGCTACGTGGCGGAAGTATAATGCTTTGGAAAGGTCTGGGAATATCTGAAAGGAAGTACTAAGAGTTGAAAATGAGACAAGTTCAGGACCTTTATCAGGAACTAAAATAATTTTTGGTTGGTCAGCAATCAAAGAAAAGTGGTACGCCTTCATTGTTTCTTTCTTTTCTTTATTCTTTCCGTTGGCATGTACACACACACACACACACACACACACACACACACACACACACACACACACACACACACACATTGACGCCACAGCCACGCGTGCTATTCTTAGGCGTTGTGTTCTATTTTTAGCAGTGTGCTGCTTTCCAGCCATTTAGCAGGAGGGAGGGAGCGCCGCCAACACAAACCAGCTACACTCGCCGCGTGGGTGTGTGTGTGTGCGTGCGTGTGTGTGTGTGTGTGTGTGTGTGTGTACATGTGAGTCACACAAGGCAAAACAAGAGGCACACCAAATTCTTGACCATCATTGCTTCGTGTCAGTCAGCGACTTTTAAGTGTACATTTAAGATGACACGAGACAACAAAACAACAGCAGACAACCCAACAGAACACAACACGAGAACAAAAAAAACCACGGCACGCCATTCAAGAAAACACAACTCAAAACATAACACAACAGAAGACAACGCAACACAGCCCATCATACGATAACACAATTTATAAAATCACACCGGGAGGCAACGCAAGACAACGAAACACAACAGAAAACGGCACAACACAAGACAATACTACACAACGCAAATTGAGAATATACACGCGAGAATACAACACGGCACCAATCCCAAACCGCGGCAACGACGTTGCGTTGCTGCGGTGGACAAGTGGAGAAGTGCACCCTGGCGGTCTGGAAGTGTGGCCCTGAGGCCGCACCCATCCCGGATTACGCTAACAAGATGCAATCGGATAGCGTCAGATTAGTCCCGATTAGGCGGGATTAGGCAAAATTAAAGCAGATTACGCAGTCCCCGAAAGATGCCCAAGAGTGTCGGGCCATGAGGTGGGCCGCGTGGAAACACATACCTGCACAGAGGACACGTGCGCACACACATTGTGCCAACATTGTGTCAAATCAGTCCAACCCTGCACACAACCACTGTCAAATTGTTATTATGACGCTAACGTGACCATGGTTGTGTAGCAGTGTGTTGTTGTTACAGTGCGGTGAGTGCTTTTGCTAGCGTCGTGTTACAATGTGTTTGTTGTGTTACTGTGGCAAGGAGTTGATTGTTGTGTTACAGTGCAAAGACGTGTAATGGGTGTTATTTTACAATCTCTGTTATTTTAGTGTCCAATAAATACTGTGTGGTGTTAAGAGTGTGACGACTGTCGTGTTAATGTGTGTCGAGTTACAGTGTCCCGAGTGCTGTTGTGTTACAGTCGTGGTGAGTGTTACATGCTTTTGTTGCATGACAACGTGATGATAGTGGTGTTAGTGTTGTGTGGCACCGTGACGTGTTTCAGTGTGTTGTGTTGAGTATCACATTACGGTGTCGTGTAAGCAGTGTGATGTCGTGTGCTGTATTTTGGAGTTGTGTTACTCTGTGATGCCTGTTGTGTTACAATGTTGTGTTACATTGTGATGATTATGTTCCAGCGCTGCACACTATGGAGTTGTTTTACAAAGCTGAGTGTTATGATGCGGCATCTGAACATGAATTGTGAAATATGGCAGCGCTGTCCTGCAGGTGTGCCTAATGAAGTGGGCCCCGTGCGTGCGTGCGTGCGTAAACGCGCGACTCACATCGACGATGTCGGCGTTGGTCCTGCTCTCGTGGGGCTCGTTGTATTCGGTGTACTTGAGCAGCACTTTGTCCATATCGGTGCTGGCGTACTGGAAGAGTTTGTTGGTGCTGTTGAAGATGATGAGCGCGATCTCGCAGTCGCACAGCACACTCAGCTCGTACGCCTTCTTCATCAGACCGAACTTGCGCTTGGTGAAGGTCACCTGAGGGGAACGACGCGGCCGTTAGCGAAACTGCGGCTAATGCTAACAGTCATATGGGAGGCGGGTCGGCCATGAGTCATAACCTTTAGACGTCAGCCTAGTGCGGAGCTGCGAGTGTGCGCTTTAGTGTGAGTTGTGGTCTACACCAGTACGTGTAGTGACTGTTGCCATTTTGCATGTGTCGATTTATTTGGCTCTCCTTGCCCACATGCCAGGGCATCAAGGTACATCAAGCGACAGTCATGAAACTGTAGATTGACGTGTGACAAGCGTAGTAGGGAAAACACACACACACACACTTGGCATGTTGTGTGTGTGTGTGTGTGGGGTGGGGGTGGGGGGGGGGGGGGCAGCAGGGTCAGTGCTGCCCCGCCATCAGGAAGCACATGTGCCTGCATTTCCTGTCATAACAGGAAGGGACGAACCATTCACAACAGCCAGAAGTCACTCATGTGTGTGGGGACCACACACACACACACACACACACACACACACACGCGTTACTCTCATTCAAGAGTTTATATTGACTTAAGGTAAAGTTTGCATTGATTAAAAAACCCCACCATCTTGTCTTATGTGTCGAAAGTGCTTGTATGACTTGACAGTGGATAATTATTTTATTGAACCCTGACACACAAGGGTTGCGGGCATGCTGGAGCATTGTGGGTATTGTAGTTGTCTTGAGTTAAAGTGTGATGAGTGTTACATTGTAGTTTTTATTTGTTACTGTGCGATGACGGTGGCGCTAGCTCGTGTTGTGTTGACTGCGTGTGTGGCGTCACAGATACGCTACACTGTGGGGTAGTTGTGTTTGTGCTTACATGTCTGTTGCGTTCGTCCACAATGCGGGCGATCTGAATCTTCTTCCTGCCCATTTTGGGTCTTTTCTCTCTTCTTCTTCTTTTTGTCTTTCTTTGTTGTCGTCGCGTCTTACTTTTGACTCTGCCACCTCACACGTCTGAAACACAACAACCACGAGTTACATTGATGGAACACCAAAGGACTGTGTGTGAAGACGCAGTCGCCACCGCACGCTTGGACAAGCTGCCACTCATCCTGGGGACACGCCCCACCTTACTGCCTCCAAGCGTCTTCTGAGGTTATATTGGCACACTTTCAGAGACGCGCCTCAGTTTGGGGGGAGTTTGGAAAACACCAAATATAACAGTAGCAGCAGAAAGAATGAAAATAATTCAGATTCAACCAGGAAATTAAGAAGATTTCCTGGTTGGGGTGCTGTGTCCTGTGTGTAGAATTATGATGGGGAAAAAATGAATTTATTCCATTATAGTCCTATTTAAAAAACGAAGAAAAGCGGAATAGACCGGATGTTGAAATAGAGAGAGTTCTGAAACAGAAATGAATTTAGTCCATTTACTGTAAAATAACACAAAAAAGTAAAACTCTTTCCATTACATATAGATTTTTTTTTTTTTTTATAGGAACCTGAAAAACAATAAACATCGAAAATGTTTCTCACGTTGTCAGTGTAAGTTTTAGGGGATAAAATGTCATTTCTTGTATTTTAGACTTTTTTAGTATGGTTTCACTTTGAGAGATTGTTTACAACTTGATGGGGGGGAAGCGATGAATTGATTCCATTTTGGAATTTGGCTGAAAAATGGTACATCTTGAAAATTGTCAATAAAAATAAACGCGTGAGTGAAATGAAGCTCCATGGTTGTCTGTGCGTGTGCGCGCCATGTGAGCGGCGTCCATGCACGTCTCTTAAGCGCTCGGTCGCCAGGTTAACAGGATGTACACACACCAGCACAAACACGCAGGAGCAGCTTTACTTGGCAGCCGCCGCCAAACCTTGCCTCTTTGCTTCTCGCCAAACTCGCCAAAGTACAAACAAGCAGCAACAAAATCAAGTTGCGGATTCACGTCACTTTTTGTCATTTGTATCAAACATCCAATCGTCTTCATACATTTCAGCTCTTCCAATTTCAGTTTTATTGCAAAGGTCGGCGCAGGTTGAGGTGAAAAAAAAAAGACTGAGGAATGTTTTTTGTTTCATAAAATACTGCCGAAGTACTCGTGGTTCAGCACCTCCACTGGGAAAAAATAAATAAATAAATAAACTTTTTTGGGCCGAAAACAGCAGTTTCAGTTGGAAAAAAAAACAAAACGAAACTTTTTTGGGCCGAAAACAGCAGTTTCAGTTGGGAAAAGTTTACACGATGAATGAATGATATTTATGGCAACAATGTCAGAGAGCACAACAAAGCAAGCAAGTTATTTGCTCCAAATCAATTTGCTTTGTCTTCTGCAGTATCTTAAAATTGGTTTTCAATAACAAGGTTTTTAATTATTTGTTGTGAAATGTGCGAAAGACGGTTTTGGGGAAATCAAAACTTAAAACATAGCCCAAACTGAGGTTGTTGCTGTTGTTGTTCAACAAATAAAACAAAATAAGTCAAAAATCTACTTTTACTTTGAAAAACAATGATCAACATTTTTGCTGATTGTCTAATGGCTGTTACGGACCAAACCCGTGATAAAATCTTAATAAATTTAAGTTTGTGCATTTTCTACATGATAAATTTGAGATAATATCCTGTGTTTTAATAGATGGTTAACATTTTTTTTCCACATTCATCGGAAAATCGACATAACAATCTGTAGATGAACTGATTATTGAAATCACCGTTCAGTCCAGGCCTAGATGACAATGGCATAGTTGTGGATAAAAGAGCAAGCGGCCTGCGTCGACTTCCTGTTTGGCTTGAATGTGTCAGCACACGTCACACAGTCACATGTCTTCAAATGACGTCTTCTATGGTTTGTAAACACATCAAGGCGGCATGTCCAAGGAAGGAGCGCCGGCATTCTTTTCTTTTTTCTTTTGAAGACGCTTTGTTGCGTCGTCGTGATTTGGGGTAAAAAGTTCACTTTTTATTTCGGGAGGTGTCTAAAAATAGCTCACAAGCTGCCTTGCTTGGCTGTCATGGACGATGATCAAGTGGTGCTCAATTGATTTACGCAGGGGACTCATGCTTCACATATTCCTGACATGTGGCATGTTGACACTCGCCCGGTGACCAGTCACCAATCAGACCTCCTGATGATGATGACAGCATCATCTGAGGACCAGACATAGCTGCAGATTGTGTCAATGCATGCCATAGCCTATTCCAATGGAGAATACACCATGGACTGGTCACCAGTCAATGAAAGGATACATATTGACAATTGATGGATTGGTCGCCAGTCAGAGTCAGGGAATCCATTCAAGGTCTGACATTAACGGTGGCCCAATGGCCTGGGGCCACCACATAACGGTCGGGCCACCCGCAGTTCACTGATGCTGACCCGATTGGGCCAAGAGTCGAACTACCACTATTCACTATTTTGAGTTTTATCCACTTCAATTAATTGTTCATCTTTGCTCGTTTTACTCCGCTATGCACATTGCATCGCTCCCGTTCACTGTCAAAGTGTGTGCTACGTACTCGCGCTCGAACATTTTTGCCACTGAGTCCTTTTGAATTTTGCTAAGTCTAGATTTAAATCAGCGCCAGTGCCAGTTCTGGCAAGGTCACAACAAAAAACTTCATGTCGGACCTTGGAATTGACAAATGATGGACTGGCTGCATGTCAATTTCTGGGAATGTCTAGTAGACAAAGAATGACTTGGTTGCCAGTCAACATCAGTGTATAGACATGGACAAAGACTGCCACAGGCAGAGCACACGGACTGGTCGCCACTCAATAGTGGGGTACAAACAGATGATAAGCGTACACTTTCACACGATCACTCAATGTACAAAAAAAAAAAAAATCCCTGAAAAGTCAGCGCAACTCAGAAGTTGATTGACACCACGAGAGTGACGGCCATGGAACGTGTGCACACCACATGTACAACAGACGCCAGTGACACGTGTGTGTGTGTGTGTGTTTGTGTGTGTGCTCTAAGATGACTGGCAAACTCACACATCATCCTCACACACGTGTTTCAGGAATACCCGGCTCAATGCTAACCACGCTAACACAACTTCAGCTAGCCTGATTGGACACCAGGGCTCTTCATCATCTTCATCATGATGATGATGTTGATGTACATTTTTGAAGTCATTCAGTTGCCCATAAAGCACATTTGGCGAACCAGAAAATGAAAGGACAAGATTGTGTGATGTCATCAGCAGTGCAGTCATCATATACAGTCCAGGCAGGTAAGAATAATCATCATCAAAATAACTTTCGCTTTGAATGCCTTTCGAGGGACTTCACTAATATTCCATGAAAAATGTCAAAAGTGTGTGTGTGTGTGTGTGTGTGTGTG